TTTAGAAGAACATTAGAGACAATACATAGTTTCACTAGGTAGGATTGTAGGAATTCACCAATGGTTGTTATACTGCAAATTGTTGTCATCACATAAGTTGCTCAGATTACCAGATACAAGCATGCAAAATTGATCAAAATGTTAAAAAAAAAAACCTCTTAATCATTAATTGTTCCCCTCAATAATCCATCAGACATCAGCAGTACAGCTATGCCACCAATCCTTATATATAAAGTCAAACTATCTTTATGCACCTCTGGAATTTTTCCTGATTCATTAAAATCACTCCTGCTTATTAAAATTATTGCTGTTTTTAAAAAATAAAATGACAAACTATATCAATCTAAAAAAAAAAATTTGACCAGGTTAAGCCACAGTCTAGAAAACTGTTCCAAGTATGACATTCAAAAGCCCTCTGCCACCTTCTCTCTCACTGTTCCTGCTGGCCCTGCACATCTATGTGTTCTCAAGACAGAGCTTTGAAACCTAGGACAGGGGCTGGGATTTAGCTCAGCGGCAAAAGCGCCTGCCTGGCAAGCGCAAGGTCGTGAGTTCGGTTCCCGGTACCGGAGAAAAACCACAAAAAAAAAAAAAGAAACCTAGGACAATTCTCACACCTCCCACTCTGTCTCCTGCCTCTGTAATTTGAGAGCTGTCATTTCTTTTACTGGGGCAGAAATAGTCTACTTCCCAGTAACCAGTCACTTGTTCTGCACAGAGGCTTGTTTCTGCCTCCTGCATACTAACTTCTCATCACACACAAAACCCTCCCTCCCAGACCCGTCAGGAGCCCTCGGAGCAGAGTTTCTGCCCTGGCCAGCTCCCTACTGGGAGTAAGAGTGATAACTTTATCACGGCCCCTGTACCTACTTGTTTTCAAACTTTGATTTCTCCCAAGAAACTAGAGCCTTTTTGTGCTCTGCCCCTCTGCCTTGGTTGTGCCTCTGGTCCTGGGTTAGGTTGGCAGAGGATCCAGACTAGAGAAAACGATACGAAGTGCACAGATGATGAGTAATGAGAAGACAGCTTTTGATGGACAACTCTACCAGTCTCCAATTATGTGACCCTAGACAACATGCACTCAACCATATCTATGTCTCCAGAACCTCTTCTGAAAAATGGGCATGATGATCACAGTTAGGTTATTGTGAAGGTTAAGATGGGAGGACAGTTGTACTCGACAGAGTGCCAGGCACAGAAAAATGCATTCAAAAATATCATTATGACAAATAATAAAGAAAAGTGACAAGTTGTTTTAAGACACCATGGCACCTTGAAAAAAACTGTCAAATGTGTCAGTTGGTACATTAGACACCTTTTCTTGATTTCAGACTCTTTTACTTAGGTAAGAAGTGGAAGCAGATGTTTGCTGCAAAATCTATACGTATAGCCAGGAATACATAAAAAGATAAATACATTCTCAAAAACTGTCTATTTTTAAAGTGTCCTTAGTGTAAGGAACAACCATGAATTTTATAGTCAAATTACTTAAGTCCAAATCTTAACTGTGCATACTTCTGAATGCACTGTGCACAGGTTAATTGCTTGTTTTGCATATACTTTCTGAGTTATAATGTGAATTGCAGCACAAAGAAAATTTGCTAATATTTCTGCATTTCTTGAAACTCACATTATACAAACACCTCAGGTAGAGTCTTGTAAAGAGTAAATTCCCAATGCACAGTCATTATAATCAGTGTTTTTAAACTTTTGTCCTTCTTTTCCATGGAGGAGTCAACACACTTCTTGGCTAATTGCCTTTGCAGAGGCTTGCAGCTCAGAGCCTCTGTGGTCGTGGAGGACTCGAATACACCAGGGAACCAAAGCAGGAATAAGTTCTCTGTATCCACCTCGTGAGCCTGTGTTGGTACAGACAGTGACAGTCGCAGTGTGTGGGACAGCAGATGCTTCCAGACTCATAACCAGGCTTGGTTCCAAGACAGAGACACAGGTATGTGCCAGCAGATGATGTGCCAGTGCTTGAAATCTTTTTGACCTCACAGTGACTTACGTGTGACCATATCTACATGATTTGCTGTCATCTGGTCACCTTTGGGTTGAGACGTCACAATCACAAAGACAAGGACAGGGACTCCAGCAGCAAAAGCCAACCTGATATCAGAAATGGAAGGACATAGATTCTGGGGAGGAGCTGGGTCCTCAGAAAACAATACCATTTATTAATTGTGTGTTAGTTCTCCACTTATTAAACCTCAATTGGGTCATCGGTAAAATCACTGCCATTAATACTTAAACATAGAGAATTGTTGCAGTGAAGAAAAAATGAACTACTACATGTGAAATTGAAGGACAGCAATGATTCAAGTAAGTGTTTACAAATTATTGACCATTATTTGTATAAAAAAGCAAATTCTGGGAACACAAAGAATCAGAGTATATTAGAATCAGAAAACATTCAGAATTATGTTGAGTCCAGGAGCTGGAAGTTTTCTCAGAGCAAACACTTTGAGTGCTCATGGATGTATGTGTCTAAATATTTTCTGACACCATAAAATTATTTTTATTCAATATTTAACTTAAAATGTACAACATTTCCATACTTATAATAAATCTCAAAACCAACATGAGATAAATATTACACTGATATATACTTTCCATGAAATGCAGATGGAAAGGGACATTTTCCAGTGAAGGGAAAAGAGAAAAGATAAAGGAGTATAATATTAGACAGCTGGGGATATAGTTTAGCGGCATAATGATCACTGCTGGGCAGAATAATAAAGCAGGAGAGACACAAGCACACCCTCTTTATTCAAGGAACAGAAAGGGCAGAAGCTAGGCTGAAATGGAGGGAGCAACTGGAATGCAGGGCAGAGGTAATGAGGTCAGATCACAAGAGTTCGGAATCTGTGTAAGGACTTCCGCTTCCCTGAGTCTGTTGAGAAATCAGTAGAGTGGAAAGAACAGAAGAATAGCATGGTCAGCTGGCATTTTAAGAGACCCACTCTTGATGCCCAGTTTACAGACTCACGGAGAAAAGGAGAGAAGCAAGGAAACATCTGCCAAAGGGCAGTGACTTTGTCTACACTGGGCATGAAGGAGGGCAAGACTTGGGCAGTTTCTGGACAGATTATGAACGGGCAAGATGTCACTAAATAATCAGAGCATGCAAGCTGAAGTTCCATCCAGAAGGACCTAAGTGAGTCTCTGCTAGATGGGACACTGCCATTTCCTGCAGCAGGGAGAGTAAATGTGAAGGTGATATGTGAAGAATTCTCAGGAGCTCACTTTTTCTCCTGAGATGTCCAATGTGCACCTTGTTAGCAGATATCAAGGAGGCTCTTGAATGTGTGTGTGTGGCGGCCATGGAAGAGCCCTGGTCCAGACACAATGCTCACACTCATTCACCAGAGTGGGGGATGAGCTCGCCCAGGGCTGACCGTGGACGGACATGACGAGAGGGACAAGAGTGGATTCTGGGGTCACTGCAAACAATGGAAGCAGGGACAATAACACTGAGTACTATGAAATGAACAAGGACAGCCAGCTTATTACGCTGACCTGGAAGCCAGACGCCAAGGAAGCGGGGTACTTCCAACAGGAGGGAGTGATGAACTGTGACACTCCCTGCAGACCACATCAGAGGACTCAAACCCAAGCATAAGCTATGGCCACGGGAATGCACTAACCTGTAGGAGAATATCGATCAGGAAGGCACCAATGGAACACACTTCCATTAGTCTTCAAAGAAAAATTGACTAAGACTGCTATTTATAAATGCCACAAATGACTACTCAGTAGAAACTGTATTTTCCTTGGACCTAGGAGGATGAGTATACAAATAACAATTGTATTTACTGTGATTTCATTTCCTTTAACTACACAGTGATTTGGGGTGAGGAAAGGTAATGTAAATAGAATGGTCTTGAAAATATAATGCATGAGTACAGAGGTCAGATATATTCTTGTCTCTCTTATCTTCTGGGGGGCTTCAGAGACCTAGTTACCTCCTTAGACAAATGTTCTGCCACTGAGCTACACCCCAAGCCCTCTAGCTATGTCAACAGAATATTTACACTTTGGTAAAAATTTAAAAGTATGGAATATTTCTGAGCTATCAAATAACGTTTAATCACATTTTATTACATATATGTTTCAGGAATTTTTTATAAAGGAAAAACTCTTAATAATGATAAAAATACAAAAATAACAAAAAATTAAAAGAATAGAAAGTTTCTAGTAATACATTAATATATCAGTCACTTTTAACCCTTCAATGCTTAGTTCTCCTTTCTTGGAATGCCTGTAACAATGGAACATAATTAAATTATCTCTCTTCAAATTCTTGCTCATTGAATTTTCCCAGATAATGTATATGAATTTCATGCAAAAATTCAAAAAATTGCAATACTTGGCATAAATGGGTAAAAATGACTCATAATTAACTATTATATAACGTTTACTGTGGAATGTATGTAAAACATAGTATATTTCCCTACTGTATAATTCCAAATTTTATAATTCACCTCTATACATGTTCCCAAAACATTCCATTCTTACCTTTTTACACAGAATATCTTTTGAATGTCTTATAATATATATAGTACAAAGGCTAGTTAATGTTCTTCTATATAGAAACTTTGCAGGAAAAAATTGACTTATTAACCAATGTTGAAACTAAGTAAAATTCAGCTTTTGAGATACAAACAACTGATACTCTAAACCTAAAAGTCATATATTTCAATGTGCATTTTGCTATTGAAAAATATTGAAGGTATAAGAAATTCAGATTTATGAGTATTTTGTTTATCAAAATATCATTCCCAAGGGGAAAAAAATAACAAAATTAAGATTTTTAAAACTGAGTATGAATGACTTTGGCCAATTTGAAACTCTAAAATAAGCCCATAGAGTGCTGCATGCTAAACTTGTATAACAACGTGGATTGCATTGTAATGTATCTAACATATTTACTAATTTTCAGCACAGTGATTCAAGCAGATCGTTTTCTCTTCTACAAAGTGAGATTCCTTGGAGCCATGGAGAGGGGCAATCACACGGTGACTGAATTCATCTTGTTGGGTTTCACGTCGGACCCTGTGATGCAGCTCCTCCTCTTTGTGTTATTTCTTGCAATGTATTTTATGACCGAGGTGGGAAACGCCACCCTCATGGTGCTGATCTGCAATGATGCCCGGCTCCACACGCCCATGTATTTTTTCATTGGAAATCTGTCTTTTCTGGATCTGTGGCTGTCCTCAGTTTACACCCCGAAGATCCTAGTGACCTGCATCTCTGAAGACAAAAGCATCTCCTTGGCAGGTTGCGTGACCCAGTTCTTCTTCTCCGCTGGGCTGGGATACACTGAGTGCTACCTGCTGGCTGCCATGGCCTACGACCGCTATGTGGCCATCGCAAAACCCCTGCTTTACACCCAGGCCATGTCCATAAAGCTATGCATATTTTTGGTAGCAGCCTGCTATCTTGGAGGCTTCACTAACTCTTCCATCATCACCAAGAAGACCTTTTCCTTTGACTTCTGCAAAGACAACGTCATTGATGACTTCTTCTGTGACCTGCTTCCCCTAGCCAAGTTGGCCTGCGGCAGGACAGAGGGCACCCAGACTCTGATGTACTTCCTGTTGACCTCCAACGTCATCACGCCCCTTGCCCTCATCCTGGCCTCCTATCTCTTCATCATCGCTGCCATCTTGAGGATCCGCTCCACCCAGGGCCGCCTCAAGGCCTTCTCCACATGCTCCTCCCACCTCATCTCAGTCACTCTGTACTATGGCTCCATCCTCTACATCTACTGTCTCCCCAGTTTTAGCTATTCTAGGGATAATGTTGTTTCCATCTTTTACACTGTGGTTTTTCCCATGCTGAATCCCTTGATCTATAGCTTGAGAAATAAAAATGTGAAAGAGGCTTTGCATAAACTCATCAATAAATCAAGCTGATTTCCTTCTATGGAGAAACAAAGAAAATTTATTTTATTTCAAGCCAAGATCTCACTGTGCTCCATCCTCATTAATCATTGTTGTACTGTAAGTTAAAGAGTCTCTACCCTGATCACAGGATGCTTTAACATACCTATGGTAAAAAAAATTAAGGCAAATGTGAAATTAATATCTTAAAATAAAATATAAAGACTTGGATAGGACTTAGGCAAAAAGAAAGTCTTCTAACTCAAACAATGACAGAAAAACAGTAGATTTAATTGACTGTTATGTGTAGAATAGTTTCTGTATAGTTTCTTTTTGAGAAATAGAAAATAAATCAGGCATGTGGCTGTACACTTTAATGGTACTATTTGGGAGCTGAAGCAGGAAGATTGCAAAGCAAAGGCCAGATTGGGCTGCCCAGTGAGATGTGAATCAAAAATAAAATGAAATTCATCAGCATCTACTTAAAAAATTTTGTTTCTTTTTTTTAACCACAATCACTATTATAAAGATCCAGTGGCATCCAATTTGGGACAAATTATTCCCAGCAGGCATGATGTTTTTTAATCTATAAATTGTTTCATAAGTTCCTCCCTCTAAAATAGTCAGTCACCTCCTCATAGATACAGTCTCTGTGACTCACTTCTAATTTCCTGGGTTCCTCCTTCTTTTTTCAAGAATAAGCTTGGAAAGAATTCTGCATCCAAAATGTGATATTCTGAGCACTAGTCTCAATTTTTATGGGTAAAATAATAGAGAAGTTGGCATAAACCAACTTAAAAAATACAAATGTACAAAGTGCACACTACTCAAAAGAGAAAACTTTACAGAAAGAGTAGAAAGATAGTGAAAAATACAAATACCATGTGGTGCACTTAATTTTTATTCAATTTTCAAAAAATTGATATTAATACAAAATACATTTACAAAGTAGAAATATGTTAATGTTTGCATTGGTGTATTCATTAATGAAAGAAAGTATATGAAACTGCAGGTTAGGAGAATGGACCAACACCACATGGCTTCTCTCCACAGCTGCAGAAACTGCTACACACTGTCAGTCACACGTGTTCATCAGGACCTAAGGACATGGGACACAGTACTAGCTATAGCACACAGTAACCTAATAAAAGCAGGGATCAACAAAATAATTCCAAAATGCTTAACTTAAAGAGTTTATTCAGCTTAGTAAGAGGACGTCAAAATGATATCTTCTGTTTCCCATTACAGATGATGCAATTGCTACAAAATACATTCCTTTGAGTAACATTACCTGGCTCAAAAGGTGCATCACCATGACAGAATATCAGTTAATATGTGTGACAAACATATTCTTAAAACAAGCCAGTATAAAAACACAGACACATAGCTAAAGGATGCTCAACTACTGGCCAGAGCCTTTGTTCTAATCACCTTAGACTCAATTTCCCTACTCAATATAAAAATTGGTATGTACACAGACAGTGTAGCCTCTGGTGACCTAAAAGTATGTTCATTTTGTTTTTGTATGGAAATAATATCTTGATGGCAGAATCTTGTATGAATATCATCATCAAGACCCAGTAAAAAGATAAAGTGCAGTTCATGATAAACCTCACAAAACATAAAAATAAATAAAAGCATAATTAAAATGTAACTCTGCCTGTTGCATCGATGTATTAAAGTATGTTTAACTGTAGTTTTGGCAGCAAGCCTTAGTCACTACAGAGAATGTTTTGTTGCAATCCATGCCTTTGTAATACTGAATTTTCCACATTGATTTGAAATTACGCTATAAATTCCTAAGGGAATTTTCTTCCTCAAGACACAAATGCAGTTTACATTCTTAAAATAAAGCATTTTCCAATTTGGTCCTTTTAGACAACCAAGTTTTAATTTAAAAAATACAAATATTTATAGGTAGCCTCTTCTATGCAGAAAAATTTGTCTTATATTTAGTTAAAAACAAATAATTCTTGTCCTACAAGAACCAGTGGTTGCATTCATCTGAGTCCTTCTGAAAGACAGACTCTACAGAATGTGTGTGCATGACTACAGCACACCCATCCACTGACAGTCCAAAATCAGAGGCTGGACCTCAGGAGTGCCCATGATGCAGACAAAGTCCAAAGGCGGGGAGCCAAAGAACTCTACTTTTCTCTCAGAAGCTGATCCTCTTGTTTAGAGTTGCCAGGATGAATTATTTCCTCTGACACTTGTTTAGGGCTAAGCAAACAGTTCCTTAAAGTTTGGTGATGGATGCTTTCTCAACTTCAAATAATGAATGCAAATGATTGAAACCTTGCAAGAACCAAGCCATCCTCACCATCCAGGCCTCCGTTGGCCTCTTTACTTTATCAGTCATCTTCTCTAGAGGAGAGCGGGATGGGGTGGGGCAGTCAGAGTCAACGGTTCTTTGCCTCATTTCTTCAAGATGGGACTAATAGCTAAAACTGGCAAAAGGGAGTTCTATAGCACAGCAGCAGGAAGCTCAGAGGAGCTAGGTGGGGGAGACAGCTCAGCAGGTAGAATCTGAACACACTCCAGACACCGCTCTGCCCGGCGAGTCCTCTTTCACCCTAGGCATCTCCTCACTCCTCCCAGAGTCTCTGATTTTCCTCCTTTATCTTTTTCTTTTGAGACAGGGTCTCACTATGCAGTTCAGGCTGGCCTTGAGCTCACTTTGTAGCCCAACCTGGCCTCAAACTCCCAATGATCCACCTGCCTCAGCCTCTTGAGTGCTGACATTACAGGCATGTGCCACCATGCCAGGCTTGATTTTCCTCCTTTATAGTGACCCCATAGGAGCTTGGAAAGAGATGAGACCAACCCCCTTTGGTACTTAATTTTTAATATTTTTCTTTAAAAGTCACAATTGCAATAATACACAAAGAATCGTTTCATCCACTATTTTTGGCATTATTGGTATTGTATTACTCTTTTCCACTCTGCAGTTTTATACGTTTTCATTTTCAAAAAAAATCTCCTATCACAGTTGCACATATCTCCCAGAAATGTGAAATTTACATGAAATACATAACTTGCATCAAGTACTAAGCCCAGCAATCGCTGTATAGTGGAAACTCAATAAATTCTTCCTGGGAGGAAAAACACAACCTTGAACAGGGTGTAGACAGATCAGCTAATGTTTCCAGACATTGACATAATTCATGAGAGAAAGGCTGAAGAGCTGCAGAGAGAGGAAGTCCTGACCTGTGCTCCTGATTCATGGAGATCAGAGCAGGGCCTTTTGCTGTTCACTGCTTCGTTTCCATAAAGGAGACTGGTGACCTGAGAACTAAGACTAGGAGCCCATCATGATACGGTATTGTGCAGAGAGCCCGGGTTTTAGCTTCACACAAAGTGAACTGAAGATCAAATCATTGCTACTAATTGTCCACCTCACCTTGTGGGGCCTCTTTTTCCACAACTGTGAAACAGGGTAATAACTGTGGTATTGTCTGAGTGTGCCCAGGGGACCATAACCAGCTGACATAGGCTGGAACTCTGCTCCACATACCTGTGTTCTCTTACAGTTCTTGAGGCTAGAAGTCCAAGATCAGGGTGCTCTTAGAGTCATGTTTTGGTGAAGACTCTTCCTGGAGTCTGGGTGCTTATCCTTCTTCTTTTTTATTTTATTTTTACTAACATGTAATTACTTCATATATTAATGCAGTATTTCAATACATGCATATGGTATGTACTGACCAATATAATTATCATTTCCCTCTCTTTTCATTTTTTCCTGATGGAATCTTTAAATTCTATCTTCTAGATGTCTAAAAGACATTTCCAATGGGGAATTACTCAGCCACAAGAGAAAATGAAGTTCTGTCATTTTTAGCAAAAGGGATGAATTAGAGGATGATACGTGATGTAAACGAGACATATAAAGGCAAATACCACTTGTACTTTCTCCTAGGTGAAAAGCGCAAAAGTCAATTTTGATGGAATGTGTTGATTTCTGGAGGCTGGCAAGAGCAGGACAGAGTGAGGTTTCATAACTTGAAAATCAGGCAGCAAAACATAGATAGAACAAGTGCTAGTGGTCTGCAGAGTAGGGTGGTTAATTTAGATGCCCAGTTTTTTACTGCATCTGCCTTTAACCTTTATTATCTCTTTTTAATAGAATCTCATCAGGGTTAAAGCTTCAACAAATTAACGGGGGGGGACACAATTCAGCATTTAGTTCTGTGAAAGTGTCTACCTCAAATAATTATGACAAGTGGAAATAATGCATCCCAACCATTCCGTATAGTGTCTGGTTTAGGATGTATGTGTTGGCTTCTTCCTCTTTCTCCACTGTAACTCATTACTAGTAATTTTATTATTGAGAAATAAGTGTCACTTAGCACAGTCTTTATAGTTCTGAGCTGGTTGGGTTTCCCAAAAATGATCAAGACCATGAAGTGCTCATGTGGAAATATAATGCAGAGAGTGAGCTTGATAATTCTGGTCTGCAGTCCAGGAGCCGTCGCAAACTCTAAATGTTGGATCTAAGTCTTGCAACTGCTGATCTTGGGTAAGGACAGAGGACAATACGAAAGCTTCATGCAGTGCCTGTGAGGCAGTAACATGGGGAAAGTATGTTGTCCTTCTAACCTACAGACCCTTTTGCCACAGACCTGATGTCTCAAACATATTTACCTTGGTCAAGGATTGTCCCTGATTTAATATGCACCCAGGACACATTTTCATTTAGCGATGGGTAGGAAAACAATAATTCTGACAAGATCTTTCTCACCTGCAGTTCCCCAGCGAAGGTGCACCATGCAAGACGAGAAACAGAGAGGACAAAAATTCCTGGTCTGTTTTGTGGTTCTGCCTGGAGGAATGGGCTTGGCAGAGTGGATGAACAGGAGCATGCACAACACAGACAGTGTAGTGTGATTACTTTCAAAAGTGCTAGGCAGTAGGGGTAGACTCTCACTGTCAAGTCACTGGCCCTGGGTGATAGGGGAGAGGAAAATACTAGTTAGGGGAAATATTAGTGTGAGAGTGACTGGCAGATGAAGTAAAAGACTGGATATCCAGGCTTTGGACTTGTTAGATTGCATATGAAAAGCATTCTCTTGCTGCATGCAAACTGATTTATATGTAGAAATCAGCTATCCCTGAGAAGGACAGAATACAGAATTGCAAAGCCTGGGTAGGTCAATTATCATAAAATATGGAAAATTTAAATATCATGATTAGCATAAACTCCAACAGCCTTCTCTTTGTGACACAAAACCTCCTTAGTGATCTCATCCAAGCTGTTCCACAGGACCTACAAACACTGTTTACCAAGCAAATCTGCCAAGTTTCCAAGGTCCCTCCAAGCCCCATGCCATTTTCTGCCTCTGTTCCACCACAGTGCTTCTCCAGGGCCTGAAATGCTGTGCTCTACATGGTCCTGGTCCACACCATCTTCAGGGACAGATGCTGTCTTCCTGTTCCTCTGCAAAACTCTCTCTCTCTCTCTCTCTCTCTCTCTCTCTCTCTCTCTCCACACACACACACACACACACACACACACACACACACACTGCTCACAGTGCTCCTAGCAGGGCCTCTGCTTTGACTGGCCTCACACTACCAAGTATGATAATTTTAACAAAATGCATCACAGTTACAATGAAGGCTAGAATCATAGCTTCATTCTAGTGCATGTCCTCAGTGGTTTTCAGAGATACAGGAGACAGTCATTCTTTTTTTCTTTTTTCTTTCTGTTTTAAAGAGAATAACAAATCAACAATAGCAAAATACCAACAATATAGACAAAAGAAAACAAAGCAAAAGCAGTAAGAAAGATACAAGGTTTCAGAACAAAATGATGGGAATTAATAGTGGTTGTTATATTACATATTTTTATCTTCAACAAAGTTGCTGAGATTACCAGATGTAAGAATGCAAGACTGATCACACTGTTAAAGAGAATAAAAAATAAAAACAAAAAACTTGTAGATGATACAGAGTTCACTAAACAATACAACCATTGTTGAGACAGTCATTCTTGACTGACATGCAGGTTTTGATAAATTTTGTGGGACCTGGCTTTGAACTGAGGTTCTCCCAACTTCCAACTGCATGACCTTGACAAAGACACATGATCATTTCTACGCATCAGGTAACTAACGTGTAAAATTACATGGTGACATCACAAGATTATTCTGAAGATTCCCTGACATGACATTTTTTGAACACTTAGAGGAGTGTTTTTCATACACAAACACTCAATAACCATTATTAGGATAAATAAAGGAAAAAGTAGGCAAGTTCATTTTAGGCAGTACATCATCTTGGTTAAAATTTTCACATTGTCCAAATGTATGACATTGGCTAGTATGATACCTTTGTTATGAGTTCAAGTTGAGTCACGAGGTGAGATGGGAGAGCAGATATGTTTGCTGCAAAATCTATTTCATAGGCATTTATGGTAAGCAAAGTTCATCTCTAAAACAATGTCTTTACTGATGAACAGATACTCAAGGATATACCTTCTCTAAAGTGTCCTTAGTGTAGGAGAACAACTGTGAATCTTGTAATGAGATTGGCTTGGACAATCTGCACATGATTTTCTCATGTCTGTATCATTTTGTCTGACTACAATGTGATGTACAAAAAAAAAAAAAAGAAAAAAAAAAGACAGGGGCTGGGGATTTAGCTCAGCGGCAAAAGCGCCTGCCTGGCAAGTGCAAGGTCGTGAGTTCGGTTCCCGGTACCGGAGAAAAACCCCAAAAAAAAAAAAAGAAAAAGAAAAAAAAAATGTGATGTAAAACACTTACTTCAAAGACTGGTTTGACAATATTCATTTATTTACTGTCTAGAAACATAAAGTTTCTCACATAGGAATTTAAAGAGAAGGTACACAATTCACAGTCATCATCATCATCATTTTCTCCTTTCACATTTAGAAAACAAAAAAAATCAATATAACTTTTCCATTAACTGCCTTTTCTGAGACTTTCAAAACCATAAACCCTGGAGGTGCTTGAAGAATTGCGTACCCTGGGGATCCAGAGCAGGGATAAGTTGCCAGGATTTGCGATGAAATCTTCTGCTGTTTGAGACTGCAGCACTTGCAGGTAGGTGTTCTGAACCCGGGTGGGACCATTCAGTGTTCTTGAATGCGTAAACAGGCTTGGCTGTCAGACCAAGTACACAAGGATGTGCCAGCACATGATTTGGACAAAGGTGGCACATTTTATTGGCCCTATGTAGGTAAGGTGCATTCATCTGTGATAACTTCTGAATCTCTCAATGCTGTCCCAAAGGTGAAAGCATCAAAACCTAAATGACAGTGTCCATGGAGCCCACTAGCACCTGCTAACTTGATATTAAGAATGAAAGGAGGGGCTTACTTTAGGGGAAGGGCCAGATCTTCAGAGAAAGCAGCTCTATTTACTATTTGTGCAATTGTTAAAGACATACTACACTTCAGTTTGGTCATGTGTAAAATTATTGCTGTTAGTTTTTAAACATACACACAACGAGTGTTGTGAGAGATAAACAAAATGCTACATGTGAAATGCTAAACACAGTGTTTGATTTGGAGTAAACCTATCCAAAAATTTAGCTATTATTTCTATAAGTGATAAAATTCCAAGATGATAATGAGAAGCAAAGCATAATAGAATCAAGACAATATTAAGGTTCAGACGCAGTCCATAAATTTCAAGTTTTTCCACAGCAAAAGTTTGCAGTTTCAAGATTCATGTTTTTAGAGATTTTGTGTTGCCATAAAATTTTTCATATTTAGTATTAAGAGATTCAAAATAAAAAAGCAATATAACATTATGATAGTACATCAAAACAACATGAGATAAACATTAAACTGACCTGTGTGTTTCCTCCAAACCAGAGGATGAAGAATATTTCCTAGCAAAGACAGAAGTTAAATTACAGGGATAGATGTAATCTGAGATAAGCAGCAGCACAGGGGTAGCACTAAGGTAGGAAAGGGGAGGACAAGTGTCAGGGAAGGAGATTACAATAAAGTGTTTCAGAAACACCTTAAAAAGTAATATTACAGAGAGTGCAGTCTGAGGATATAAAACTTCTAGTTAGGAAAATATGTGGAGGGATCATTTTACACACAGCAAGGAGCCAACAGGGAGGAACTGAATGTGCCCTCATTACTCTATAAACAGAAAGAAAGGTGGACACTGGACTGGAAGGGACAGTGAAGGGAGACAGAGTGAATTGCAAGCAGGAGACTCTGAGCCTTGATCACAGAGAGCTGAGACATCTTTGTGAGGATGTTTGCTGCTAATCTCAATGCGTTGCTAAGCCACCGGAATGGTCGGGACAGAAGAAAAGCGTGTTCAATGTGCATTCTAAGAGGAAGAGTCTGGATCCCCAGTTGAGAGACCCGAATGAGGTGTGCATGAATGCAAGCAGATAGCTAGGACGCTTCAGCAATGAGGCCTCAGGCTTTGCCTAAGGTGGAAATGTTGTTGCAGCTGGTAAAGAAATGGCCAAGTGTTGAAAGATTGTGAAGATAGCACCTGCAAGGTGTTGCTAAATAATCAGAAACCATGTGAAAGCTAGAGAACAGTTAAGCATGATGCTAAATCACTCCTAAGCTGGAAAAATGCCATTTACTGCAGAGGAGAAGACAGAGGTAATGGAGATGTAGGAAGGATAGTCAAGAATGCATTTTCTCCTGATATGCCCAGTGGATACTGGGTCACAGTTATTACAATAAATGTCAGAGCTCATGTACCTGGAGTACATGGAGTACACAGGAAAAGAAAGCTACAGTTAGAGTCATGCAAATGTTTAAAATCATCAGTCTGGATAATACCACCAGGAATGATTATAGATAGAAATGACAATAGGTCCAAGAGTGGCTTCTGGGGGCACTGCAACATTCAAAACTAGCATGACAAAGAATAGGTAACAAGAGAAGCAAAACAAATAACAGGTGAGTGTGATGACCTGAGAACCAAGTAGAGTATTTCCAGCAGGACAGAGTGACAAACTATGACAGATATTACAGATCAAACTAGAAAGTGATTTAGACTTATTTTTAATTTATCCATGTGAAGTCACTGAACTTCTAGTGTCGGAGGAGTAAAAAAAAAGTGTAGGTAAAACAATCTTCTGTTGTTTGTATTTTACTTACAAATGATTCTATTTACTAACCCAGTTCTTGATTAACCTTAATGTTGAGTTGAATATGAATCGCTTTCCTACATCCTGAGTGAGACTACAGTAAAAATAAGTATCATATTTCCTGAACATTTTCTTTGTTTGGCTACAAAATAAAAATTCTTTCTAAATGAGCACAAAGACTATTGGATCCACGACTTCTTATGATTGTCAGGAATGTTTTGTAACATATAAGCATACTTACTACTTTATCAGCACAGTAATTCATAGATCTCTTGTTTTCTTTCTCTATAGTGTGATACCCAGAGCCATGGAGAGGGGAAATCACACGGTGACCGAATTCATCCTGCTGGGCTTCACAACAGACCCCACGATGCAGCTGGTCCTGTTTCTCCTGTTCCTGGGAGTGTACTCACTGACCTTGCTAGGAAACAGCACCCTCATCGTACTGATCTGCAATGATGCCCGGCTCCACACACCCATGTATTTTTTCATTGGAAATCTGTCTTTTCTGGATCTGTGGCTATCCACGGTCTACACCCCGAAAATCCTAGTGACCTGCATCTCTGAAGACAAAAGCATCTCCTTGGCAGGTTGTGTGGCCCAGTTCTTCTTCTCCGCTGGACTGGACTATACTGAGTGCTACCTGCTGGCCGCCATGGCCTACGACCGCTATGTGGCCATTGCAAAACCCCTGCTTTATACCCAGGCCATGTCCATAAAGCTATGTATATTTTTGGTAGCAGCTTGCTATCTTGGAGGCTTCACTAACTCTTCCATCATCACCAAGAAGACCTTTTCCTTTGACTTCTGCAAAGACAATGTCATTGATGACTTCTTCTGTGACCTGCTTCCCCTAGTGAAGTTGGCCTGTGGCAGGAAGGAGGGCACCCAGGCTCTGATGTACTTCCTGTTGACCTCCAACGTCATCACGCCCCTCGCCCTCATCCTGGCCTCCTACCTCTTCATCATCGCCGCCATCTTGAGGATCCGCTCCACCCAGGGCCGCCTCAAGGCCTTCTCCACATGCTCCTCCCACCTAGTCTCTGTCACTCTGTACTATGGTTCTATCCTCTACATCTACTCTCGCCCCAGTTCTAGCTACAATCTTGAGAGGGACAAGATGGTTTCTACATTTTATACCGTGTTATTTCCCATGTTGAATCCCCTGATCTATAGTCTGAGAAATAAGGATGTGAAAGAAGCTGTCTATAAATTCTTCAAATAGATCAAGATGATCTCCTCAGAAGCAGCAAAGAGAATTTCCGGTCACATTCATTGTATTTCACGTCAAGCTGCCATTGTGCCACATCTTAATATAAATCAAGATAATGGATTTCCAATCATGACGTATCATAGTTCAAGACACCTAAGGTCAGAAAATCAAGATAATTGAGGAGACAAAGATTGAATATAAAATATAAGAATTTGGATTCAATTTCAGTCACTGTATGTTAAAAACAAAGAGGCTAAGTCCCCCAAATTCTGTAACTTCAAACAGTGGCAAAGGAGTCCAACCTTTTATGGGAATACTCAGTTTACTGACACTTACAGTGGTATGCATACAATTATTGCCTAAAAATACATTGAATTAATTTTAATATTTTTCTATAACTGGTAACTAATGATTTGCACCAGTGTCCCTTCTGCTTAATAGAGTGTCTTAAAGATTTTAAATGTATTTTTTACTCACAGACATTAACACAAAGATCAAGAGACACTGAGAAACGTGTTGCTATAATTTATTTGCAGCTGGTATGACCTTCTTCATCTGTGTACCTCTCCCATGAGCTCTTTGCTTAAAGAGAAGTAGCCACGTTTCCATATGCATTTCTGTGATTTTCCTGGGCTTCACTTTATCTTCAAAGCATATCCAAAGTGTGATACCATCGTCACATAACACAGTCACTATACTAAAATAATAGGCATTGTGAAGTCAAACAAACTGAGCAATGAAAATTTATAAGCACATATTACCCAAAAGAGCAAAATTCATAGAGGAAATGAGTGACAAAAGGATAACTAGGTGATGCATTTAATTTTTTTTAATTTTCAAAGTAAGACAGTATTCATGATTCTATTTTTTAAACATAAATTTGTCATTGTTTGTATTAGTGTGTTCAGTACAGAAATAAAATATAAGAGGTTGTGAGCTAGTCAAAGAGACCTGGAAAATACAGGAGCTCTACTTAGAGCAGGAAGGACAGACTCACTCCGGTGGTCACACACATTCACCTGTAATGTGGGACAAGGAATAGGACAGGTACAGCTTGTAAGACATGGGAATCCAGTAGAAATAATGACCAACAGGGTAATATGTTTGATTTGGAAAGATCTGCCAACTGGGTCTCTGGTGTCCTAAAGATACCTTCTATTTCTCATTCGTGATGAAAAGACTCTTAGGAAATGCACTCTCTTAAGTAATCAGTACAGGCACAATTGGCATATCACAGTAGAAAAACATCAGTTATTTCATCTCAGTCAAGTAAAACTAGAAAATATATCATTTCAGAGTAAAACAGTGGCTACCATAAATAAAATACATGTGACAGATGTATTATTAAAACATCCCCATATGACCAAATATAACACATACGTGCAGAAAGGATTGTCCAGCTATATCCAGGGCTCTAGTCTAATCATCTTTGGAGAAGCAACCAAGTCCCCTTGTGCAAAGAAGAATCAGTATGCACACAAATGTTGTAGCTGTGGCTGACCCCAATCTTTGTTCACTTTTTCATATGGAAAAGTTTCTTGATCCACCATCGTGCACCAAGACTAATCAAAAGGTAAAATGCAGCTCTTGCTAATCCTTGTAATGCATAAGAATAAATAGACTCAAAGTGTAATGAGGCATGTGGCACTGATGTTCAAGAACATGTTTTAGGATAGGCTTAAGTATGAACTGGGGGATGATAAGTTTCTCAGTCCCAATCAGGAATGCTGCATCACAATTTACGGCCCTGAAGTATTCAGAAGGCCCTCGCATGTTAACTTGAAATTAAATGAAATCTCTTAAGGGAATTGGCTTATGTCACAAAGTTCAAATTCTTAATGTGATGTGCTTCTCATGATCTCTTTTAGACATATGAGCCTTAATTAATTAAAATTCCTACTTTTTAATTGATTTTTAATTGATCTAGAAGTGCTTGCTTTACTAAAATTTATACACTGAAGGTATCAGTATGCAATATTTGTAATTGAGTAGGTTATGATAATTTGGTGTTTGTATACAATATGTAATGAAATTAAAGTTTTTATTTTTTTTTTGTTTGTTTGTTTGTTTTTGTTTTTCTCCGGTACCGGGAACTGAACTCACGACCTTGCGCTTGCCAGGCAGGCGCTTTTGCCGCTGAGCTAAATCCCCAGCCCCTGAAATTAAAGTTTTTAAATTACAAATGTTCACGTGTAGTCTCCTTTGCTAAAAGAAAAGTCTCTGGGACTTCAAAGTTTTACTAAGAAATTAACAACTCTTCATGGTGATACTTGTCTAGATTCTTCAGAGACACCAAAGCAATAGGATGTCTGAGAGTATGTATTCACGTGGATCAGGAGATCGCTAGCAAGGGTCTGCAATTTCACATCTGCACTGTCACCCTTCAGGCTTGAGAGCCTGGAGAACCGTGGAGACCAGGACACTCAACTGTGGATATCAAGTCTGGCCTCTTATATGGAGTCAGAGGGGTTGCCTTTTTTCTTTTTTTGTACTTTAGGCCTTGAACTAGTATTTCCTTATGTATTATTGCCTTGCCAAGTAATTTCTGTGAAACTTGTATAGAAGAGAAGCAATAATTTTGTTCAGGTTTGACAATAGCTGGTTGCTTAGTTCAAGAGAGACAAAGGAATGAAATGTAAATCTGATTTCCTCCACCCTCACTAACAGCCATCACATTGGCTTTGCATTCTATCTAAAGGATTTTAATATCTTTACACACATGACCATATGTAAACACATAGGTACAAATATCAGAAGAGATTGTATGCATTACACTTTATTTATCATCATAAAAACCATGTAGTGTCTGCTGTATCTGCATATCAACTTATTGCATAGTACAAACACAGTTGCCAGCCATTACTTCGCTAGATAATAGGTGCTAAGCAGAGGGTTAGGATAGCGGAGAAATATTTTTACTTGGGCAAATAAAACCAGGCACAGCCTCAGTCTTCTTAGGCCTCGTGGTATAAGAAACCCAACAAGATAACTTTTAAGCCCAAATACACTTACATTTGACAACATATGGGAAGGGGTAGGGAGTTACCGTATTAGTCTGAGGTTGTGAAGAGGGGCTAGAGACTTATAACAAAATCACAACTGAACAACAAAAAGTAATCTTTATCTGATTAAATTTTTACCTAGAGAAAGAGAAATGGCCCAGCTCTTGTCTCCAGTTTTAGTGGCTCTCCCCCTTCATGAGGGGCTCTGTCGTGTGTTGAAGAACAGCATTACAAAATACTGCCCTTGGTCTTCATTTCTCTTTGCTGGAAATGGCTTCTGGCCCCTGCACCCTGACCTCCTTTCCCAGAGCACCTCTAAGTTTTATCAGTGAGCGTGTTTCCATAGCAATCCTAACGTGCTCCATGATGCTCTCTGTCTCTTGCTTGCAGTACTTTGAGAGCTTGTTTAGGTGAATGAGCACCAGCTAATGGGATGAGGACCTGCTCTCTAAATGTGCCCTAGTGGTGCTGCACTCTAAGTCACAGTGCAGAGGGGAATGGGGGCTTTTCCAGAGACTCTGAATGATGACCTTCTGCCTAACACTGTAGTTCATTCGTTTCTTTGTAGAACTCAGTGGCAAACCCTTTGGAGAGTCCGTACAACTAGAGCTTTCCTGACTTACACATCCTGCACCTTTGCCTTGACTCATCTGCCTAATTAGAATCCCTTTTCCCCAAGGTCAATCGTTCTCCAAGGGGACTCTTGGCACTGGGTGGAAATATGCAGTTATGGCCCCACACTTGTCACTTCATAGTCCCTGGAATAATAAAAGTTAGAATACATGCTGCTTAAAAAATCACTTGTAGACATTTTGCCTCACTCATACAGATAATAAAGAAGCAATATCACTTTCCAAAATCACCAGAGTCAGGATATTAGATAAAAAATTTGGAGTATTATCAAAATAATTGTGTGGTAGAGGAACTATAAACAGGAGAAATAATAATGAAGAGAATTTTTCTCCCATGTTCACTTTATTCCCATTTTAATTTTTCTTTTATTTTTATTGACAAATGCTTATATGTCATTGTGGAGTACAATGTGTGTGATTTTACAGTGTGATTTTACATATGACAGTGTGGATTACATTGGGCTATATCCAGCACTCACGTATTATCATTTCTTTATAGAGAGAATGAACACTTAAAATCTGCACTTTTAGCAATTTTGAAATATGTATTATTATTTACTACAATCAATGTGCTATGCACTACAGCACCAGAATTTACACTCCATGTCTACACAAACTCTGTACCCTGTGAGCAATATGTATTCTATTATCACCTGCTCCCACCTCAGCCTCTGGTCATTACTATTCTATGCACTACTTCTATTAATTCTTGATTCCACATATCAGTGAGATCACACAAGATTCATCTTTCAAGCATGGCTTGTTTCACTTAGCATAATATCCTCTAGAGACACGTGTTTGTTACAAATGATATGATTTTCTTGTTTTCAAGTACTTGGTAGCATACTATCATATATACATAACATTTCTCCACTTACCCTCTCATGGGTGCTAATCTCTATCATAGATATCATGTGTAATGCTGCAGCGAGTACAGAGTACAGGTATTTTCCCTGCATACTGATTTCATTCCTTTGGGATGCATACCCAGAAGTAGAATTGCTGAATCATAATTCCATCCTTAATGCTTTAACTAACCTCTGTACCACTTTCCAATGTGGCTGCACTAACTTACATTCTTTCCCATGGTGTACAAATGTTCCCTTTTCTCTACACCTTTCCCAAGATTATTGTTAATCTTTTTAATCAAAATCATTCTAATGTGCATAATATGATATTTCATTCTGGTCTTAATTTATTTTTCACTGATTATTAGTGTTATTGAAAATTTTGCAATTACCTGTTGGTCATTAATATGCTTTCTTCTGAAAAATGTCTATTAAAGTGATGTGTCCATCTTAATAGGATCATTTTCTAGTCACCATAGGCAATTCAGTGAACTCATTTCCTAGTTCATCTTTGTCTCGTTACCCAGTTT